ATGTAGAAAATTGCGAACTAATATGTCCGTTCATGTCTAAATCAAGATTTTTCATCTGACCTCAATTTTAGATGATCGTATTTTATACAAAGCAAATACATCAGTTTTTACAAAGTGCATTGAAAATGACTTTAAACTATTATCAATTATTCTATAGGTTAAATTATAACTCGATCACTGGTAATTAATCACAAATATCTTTTTAGAAGTCCACTTACCTAAGGGATATTTTTATAATCATTTTAAAAGTACAAAAGCGATAGCAATGATTTCAAATATCAGCGCTAATTTCAAAATATAATTTTTTATTTTAAAAAATCAACTTCACTCGATTTTTTAATTGAGAAATTTCATCCGGAAACGTTTTCTGTCATAGTCCCGCGATAAACAGCATACAAAATCACTCACGTATTCTCTTTTTATCAACTATTAAATTATAATTTAATATTTATTACATTATCTCCTTTCTTTATTCTTCATGCATACTTTTGACTATCCAGTCGACCCAAAATTAACCCGGCATCAAATCCACAACTCTTAGATTACAAGTCCAACCCTCTACCAATTAAGCTACCACGGTTGCATCAGATAGGAGAGCAATTAATTTGTACATATACCAGTCTCACGTACGTCTTCCTAATTATGTAGCACCGGTGACTCTTATTTGGTATACTAGACCTAAGTAGTTTCAGCGAGGGTGCGTGTAAGCTACATTCTAGATTTTCATTCATATTTCACAATGTTACGCATCCCACACAAAGAATGTATTATAAATCGTTATCATTCCTGAATGTAAAATAAGGGCGTTGTATCAAGGTGTCTTACGATTCACAGCAACAATGATAATTTTGTCGATCGAAATAATGTGTTGAAACTCTACTCAAGATTTATACTGGAAAACGTAATTGTTATCATCTTTAATTTTACAATCTTGTTTTGACGTGTCCTCCCTTCATTAAAAAGGTAACAGGCATTTTCATTAATTCATAGTGATACAATCCAAGGTCTCGTTTCATTAGGCGATATCTTAATTTATTTTTTTTTTCTTTATGTAATGAATAAGGGCATCATAAAAAATGTTTGGTTATAATATCTTCAAAATTTCTATAAATTTCACGATAAGTATTGCAATAAACTTTTTAAATAACTGCAAATGTCTAACGTTCAAAAGAACTGGATCAGCGGACGGCAAACTAACTTATTTTTAAGCGTGGCCTAATGATGTAGTTTTCTGCAGTAGTATTAGAAAATGTTATTATAATAACTTTAAAGTTATTGAAAATCGATCTTTGTTCAGGTTTTTGTAAAGAAAGGGTTGTCATTAACTCAATGAATAACAACATGACACATTCATGATAGCAAATATGAAATAGACACTTGTAAGATAATAAAAAAAATTGAAACTGACACTTTCAAGATAACAGTAGCTCACAAAGACCCCAAAACGTCATTTCAAGATACTGTTAATTATAACATAGTTTGTCAAGTGAAAAAGGTCGTACTAACATCTTACAGATAATATACTTCAGATGGCAGTGGTGTAAATAACGTGCACATTTTTTGTCATTTGTTTGCATTTCAGTTACGTTTAATTTAACGATGCCCAGTATTTTAGTGAAATTAACTACGTCTAAGCGGAGAGTGAAACAGAAGTCAATCAAACGACCCCTTTGAAATTGACTTGTGCGTAATGGATCTGAATCATGCCAACCACGAGTTGTTACGTAATGTCGAGAATTTTCCGTAACTATTAAATCTAACGAGGATGTGAAAGAATATACATAACCTAGAAAGTCAAATGACCAATTCAATTCTATCGTCGTGACAATTTTAAGAAAGTAAATTTGTTTAAACCTAAACGTTGTATACTTTATCTGTTTATGAGCCAATGAATCTGAATCAAGTTTACAAACAATCTGACAAAAAGACTCCAACGGACAACATCCAACAGAAAGATTCCAATACTGCAGTATTATAAACACGATATAACTGAAGTCTCCTTTTACACACCCACACACACACACACACACACACACACACACGCACGCACACACACACAACTTAAGTCATGGCGGGAGGGATGGGTTACATGAAACTGAAAATGTCACAAGATTTTGTTCAAAACGCTTAGTAAATATTAGCTTTAGTTTCAGATTGCTTTACTCGGCTGACAACCCATGCAAAAAATCCTGCGACTAGGCTCTGATCTACACACACACACACACACACACACACACACACACACACACACACACACACATATATATATATATATATATATATATATATATATATATATATATATATATATATATATATATATATATATATATATATATATAGTAACGCTATTATTAACTACAGGTTTCAGCATGAATGTTTGAATATAAACATAAGCCATTGGAAAGAAATTCACTGTCGATAATAACGTTTATAGCAGGTGTCATCAACTAAAGTGTAGCAGGAGAAATAAAGTATTAAAAAAAACAAACAAATAATACACCGTGATAAGCCAAAAAATATGATAAATTAGGAATCTGCATAGCAGAATCAATGTTCACAAATCAAGATTATTTTAGTAGTATATTAAAAGCTATACACTTAGTAAATCTCTATCGGCTTTATTCCAGTTAGAATTAAATCAGCTCAGTACATGTATCTATTAAATCAGGTAGCTGATTATTTCATTTTTACACAAACGTGCTAAAAGGGAACCTGTTCAAAATTGTTTATTCACAGGCCAGTGAATTAACTTCCGCTTAACTATTTAAGGAAGGTGTTTTGTACTGATGTTTCCACTAATGAAATTGAGTAAGAAATAATCGGGATAAAGTTTTGTTCGGTTCAAAATGAACACAATGAACCCACATTATAAATGAAATACTTGCATAATGCAACAGTGTTTGAATTCTTTCTCTCAGAGAATATTCATTTTCATTTATGCACGTAATACAAGAAAATGGCAAGCTATTTTAGGAGAAAAAATAAAAGCAACAATATAGAAACGAAAGCTAGACGAATTATTAGTTCATTTCCAGCTTATTATCACTACTACTACTACTACTACTACTACTACTACTACTACTACTACTACTACTACTACTACTACTACTAGCAGTAGTAATATTAACAGCAAGAATGATAGATTGTGTTAGCTTCTGGGAAAATGATCACATCTGCGATCACAGGAGAATTAAATGGACAAAGAATAAGAACAACTAAGAAACAGACACAAACGCACGTTCATAGTATATGATATACCCCACAACGCACGTGCGTCAGTACAAAAGCGGTGGTAGTATTATTAGTAGCTGCAGCTGAATGAGAAATCGGATTTATGTGGAAAGTACTAATAAATGACAAAGTAGAACTAAAATAATTAGCAGTAAATGGATGGAAGGAGTCTATGACTACTTTTGTACAAAGTTGTACTTACCACCAAGTTGCGGAAACAGCCTGGAACATACAAAGTGTCAGGAGGATGAAGGACAGGTTGACAACACGACCCATTTCAGTCAGACATAAATCCATTAAAATAGAATATCCAATGTTGAAACTTTGTTGTAATTGTCTTAATTAAATTAAAAACTGGACGACTGCAGCTTCTAACATAACAGCCTTGAAGTATCAATTCGTATTTGAAATAACCGATACAGTTTTTATGTGTCTACTTAAACACTATATCAAATAGAATAGTCACTGCCTTGTAGTTCATTCATTGAACGAAACTCATAAATGAATGTTATTCCAAACTTTCCAGTGAAATAAGAAGTCACAAGCCCGTCCGTGTGCTCACTTGTTTTCCTTTTAACTTTCCCGATGGCTTCTAATGGAAGAATGATGTGAGTAAGAAACATGCTTATTATTAAATAAACATACAAGCCTCTCGTCGGAGTATCATGAAGGATATCCAATTTCTAAAAAGGTATAAACCTCCCTAAACCACCGATAGCTTTGTCTTCTTCTATCAACCTACCATATGGCGATGTCTAGAGAGTCGCGCTATTTAATTCACCCACAAGGCGCACACTGTATAATATTAGAGTAGCGCTGAGCGCTGGCTTCTGATTGGCTGGTGCGCGTAAATTAATTAAGTCAACAAGTAAAAATACCCCCGGCTAGTATTGTTCTGCCCCGAGAATCAAAGGGGTATCGATAATCCTTCCCTAGGAAAATTCCATTGAAGCACTGCTTTGTACGGAGATCAAACCAGAATGAAAGTTTTAATAAGGAATCGTGACCCAATACCCAGCAGGACCGAACCTACTCTATTATTCTAGTTCGGTTAAAGACGATCACCTCATTCAAGTTAATTGTTTTATTTTTTTTTTATTTTCCCAGTACGTACACTTTTAAAATATATACTTCCGATAATAATGATCAAACACCTATCTTAATATTTTTATATATCTTTAAATTTAATTTTTTTTCAATAGTCATATTCTTTCATGAACGTATAGGTGAAGTGTGCATCGTTTTTACCTATTTTAAGCTGATACAAAACTCATTAATTTTGCAAAAATGAAGAATAGCATAGAGCAAATTAAAGGTACTTATTACTGATCTCCTGAGTCGCAAGGTAACTCGTGCAAGGGTGCTGTTTTATTGTGTGTATGATTTGTAAATAACTGATATTATAATTGAAATATACCATGATTCAATCAATGGTAATAAACTAATCACTTTTCTGAAACGTTCTATTGTGTAAGCTTTAGAAAATTAATTTCATCGTCGCTCTAAAAGCTTAATATTTTGCCTAGAAGTGGTGAGAATTGATCGTCTCTATGATATACCCTTTTCAAACATAATCTCATGATATTCATTTGTATGCAAATATTAACATTTTGCGGGTATGTACCCCCCCTCTCTCTCTCTCTCTTTCTCTCTCTCTCTCTCTCTCTCTCTCTCTCTCTCTCTCTCTCTCTCTCTCTCTCTCTCTCTCTCTCTCTCTCTCTCTCTCTCTCTCTCTCTCTCTCTCTCTCTCTCTCTCTCTCTCAACCGCATCGGTGGCCTAGGTGTTAGCGCGTCCGCCTCGGATGCAAGAGGTCGCGGGATCGAACCCCGGCTGATTCATACCAAAGACTTATTTTAAAAAATGGTGCTAACAGCTATATCTCTAAACACCCTAGGCACTCAGGATTAAGATGTCAGTAATAAGGCTGGTAGTCCTGGTGTTAGGATAATGTGACTGGGTGCGACTACATGTCTGCGACATGGCGCCCCAGTGCTAGACATCACTATAAACTGCCACACTACAGACATTGTCTCTCTCTCTCTCTCTCTCTCTCTCTCTCTCTCTCTCTCTCTCTCTCTCTCACACACACACACACACACACACACACACACACACACTCACACACATTTTTACGCATTTCGTTACTGACACGCTTATATTCGTGTGTGTGTGTGTGTGTTCCCTCAAGAATATTTACACATAAAGACGGACTATCTGAATGGATTGCCGATGGGCTAAATATGATTGTATAACAAACTTTTAGTTATGATATTCATTATAAAATTTGGTCGGTGGAGTTTATTTTTAATGTGCTCACAAACTGTTACCCTAAAAATCTCATTATGCCTTCACATCCAATAAATGAAGAATGGTTGCTGGCTAAAAAAAAAATATTTGTTTAAAATTATGATGTGTTACCGACTGCTATGTATAGTATGTACACTGTATCAATGATATACCACGAGATGTAAAAATGTTTCATTAAAAGATACGAAGCTTGCTGAGTTACTTTTTAGTGAAAATTTAATACAACGAGTGGTATATTATTGATACAGCGTGCATACTGTAAGTACATTTTATTTATATCACATAACAAATACATATATTTGACCATTGGACGAAGTTCAGATTTACTATAAGCAGATGTGTATTGACCTAGTGAATGAAATCCTCATATCCCCTAGTGTGTCCGCTACAAAATGTAGTTCTATTTCTTTAGTGGCTATTTGCAATCACCCCTGTATATTGATAAGTTGATTGTTTTCTTTTCTTGGTTTCTATTTTTCTCTACATTGATTAAATCAATATAATACACACTTATGATTTAAATATGAAAGATGGTATTAATAATAAAAGTAGAGCACTAGCAACACTTGGATATCTACGTCATTCAAATGAACGCTGTCATTCATTTACCGGCGCATGGAAATTAATGTGAAATATAAACTAAGACATCTGACAAACCCTCGAGAGTTAATTAAAATATTTTAATAAATTTTCAGTTGATCTAACTCATTATCCTGCTTTAGCAACAGTACAAATAACCATAATATCTCTCTCTCTCTCTCTCTCTCTCTCTCTCTCTCTCTCTCTCTCTCTCTCTCTCTCTCTCTCTCTCTCTCTCTCTCTCTCTCTCTCTCTCTCTCTCTCTCTCATCATTTGGTCGGTTTGACTTAATTTTTACCATTATTCATAAGCCCAGAGATATCGAGGGATGCCACGTGAAAATCTTCTACGTAGGTCATTTTATAGATTTTAGCCCGTGTCTTGTTACGGTGTGTGTGTGTGTGTGTGTGTGTGTGTGTGTGTGTGTGTGTGTGTGTGTGAGAGAGAGAGAGATTTTCATATTTAAACAACAACAGCAATAAAATAATAATAATAATAATAATAATAATAATAATAATAATAATAATAATAATAATAATAATAATAATAATAATAATAATAATAATAATAATAATAATAATAATAATAATAATAATTAATAGTAGTAGTAGTAGTAATAATAATAATAATAATAATAATAATAATAATAATAATAATAATAATAATAATAATAATAATAATAATAGTTTGAAAATTATAGTTTGTTTAAGAAAAAACTACAAAACAAAACTACAAAAAATAACATTAAATACATCACAGTATGTGTACCACATAACCGATGAATTTACTGGTTTGCAGCTTTGTATCATTGATAAACACTGTAGATAAAACCCAAGGAAAGTGCACACGTATCGTTACGACGAATTAAATTCTTCTAGGTTACTTGGTGTAATTTCTGTTTCAAGGTTTTAATCCAGAACAAATTCCTTTTCTCTCTCCCTCCACGATTCTGCGCAGTTTGTCCGTTATGCATTAGAGGGAATGGGAGAACAGAAAACAGAAAAAATTGTGATGAAAAGGTGTACCATATTAAATTAATTTAGAAAACGGTGATTATTAATACTTTTTATCGTTATTTTCATACGTCACTAGTGACTAAGGTGTGGAAATTGACCATTGATCAATAATCAACTGCAGACGCTCGGGAGAATGTTTATATATGCGTATTTTTGCGCGATTGTCGGATTACAATTTAATATACATTTGGTATGGCAAAAATATTGGTATATCAAATTGCTTATTGCCAATACTTTAAATGCATGTTGTTTGTAATGTATGTGGTGCCCGTGTACATGTATGTATGTATGTATGTATGTATGTATGTATGTATGTATGTATGTATGTATGTATGTATGTATGTATATATATATATATATATAAATAAATATATATATATATATATATATATAAATATATATATATATATATATATATATATATATATATATATGTGTGTGTGTGTGTGTATGTATGTATGTGTGTGTGTGTCTTTAAATAGGAAGGAGAAATACTTGAAAAGAAAATGAGTAAACATCGAGTTATTTATGATTGTTCTTTGATCCTAATCAAAAGGTAAAACTGCGGCAATTTTTAAAGGCCTTATAAGCTGATCAAAGGTCAAAAACTACCGCCACTAGACAATGGTCTTCCTTAACCTACACGGTTACATTTCAGCGGACCATAAAATTCCTTATCTGGCCAAGGTATCTTTGTTTCTGACCTAGGTACATCAATATAACTTACATGCCGCAGATCAAAAGATTAATTGCACGACCAGAAAAATTTGAAATGGACGCACGTGTTTCCTGTTTATCTTAAAACTCCTAATACCTGTAAGATATTCAGGGTAATAAAAAATGTCTTTTGGGATAAGGAGACAGTTTAGCTTCGGATAATTTTTTCGGTACGTAGCCAGCCGTATTTTTTATGGATCTGTTTGTTCCTCTTTCTACCTCATTCTGTCTTTATCACTCTTTATCTTAACTGATCGCCAAGTTTTTTTTTTCTCAGTATCAATGCCTGTATGTGCGCGCGCGCGTGTATAAAATACTGCTGGTATTTTTCTTATTTCCTTGTTAAATATGACGCTTCGTTCTAAATGAGCACTATGAACATACACAAGAACATTAGGATTTAAAATTTTAAATTAGTAGAAATACACCGTCTGACCTCTAAATTCCAAATTGAATAAAAGAAATTTAATAAATAAAATGGGGATTAACAAATTATATGCATCTATGAATGAAATAAAAGTATGAATGAAAGAAGGGGAGAGTGTAATGTAATAGAAAGAATGAGATGCATATAATAGAGTAGAAAACTGAATGAATTTGAAATAGCAGGCTGTCCTTACAAGAATACAATATATAGCAACATGCAAAAGCACATTACACATAGCAAACACAGGACACAGGGAGAATGATTCCGATAAAGGAAATAAAGCCTTATCAGAAGAATGAACCTTCAGAAGACATTAGGGACAAAATACCCCAACAAAATTTAATTAAATAGAAATTAATTTTTTAATTAAATAAACAAATTAAAACATAGCAACACATTAGGGGGCAAACACGAATACATAATTTTTTTTATACATTTCTTACGGCTAAGTGGGGGGGTCTGTCTGGTGTAAGGATTACTGTTCTAATCCTTAAATGCAGTCAGATGTGGTTGTATGTGATTAAGTAAAACAAAGTAACTAAAACATACATTTAAAATAACAACTAAATAGAATTTAATTTTCAATGCGCAAAAATTATTGCATTACAAATCCAGTTTTTTTTTTGTGCTAATATATCAACAATATTTTGCGTTGGGATGATGCATACTTGCATCAAAAGAATGTTCTTTTAATATAAATTCGTTGCCACTGATCCAGCAATCAGTGATTTAAAAATTGCAAAGTTTTCTTGTCGCCTTAGGTTTTTCTCTTGAAGGTGGTTATCTGCTTGCTTGATATTTGGATTAGTATCAAAGTATAAATTTATGGGAGAAATTTTTACACGGGCATTGCCTTACCTGCCGTGAAGAGCTTATATATTTAATCACAGATGGCATTGAATAAACGTGGATACATTAGAAAGCCACTCATTTGTTCATGGCTGTAATTTGCATATCGGATCCAGGTATTTATAGTTCAAGTATGTTTTCATAGCTCAAGTATGTTTTCATAGATCAAGTATTTTTTTCATAGATCAAGTATGTATTCATAGATCATATAGGTCTTCGAAGATCAAGTATGTATCCATAAATCAAATGTGTATTCACAGAACGGTCAATGTATTCATAGATCGGATAGGTATTCCTAAGTCTAGTGGATATACATTGATCAAATAAATACTCATAGATCAGACAGGTATTCGAAGATCAAATAGATATTCATTAATCAGATAGGTATTCATAAAATCATGTAGGTATTAAAAAATCAGATATGTATTTATAGATCGGATAGGTATTGATAAATTAAGTAGGTATTAATAGATCAAGGAGGTATTGATAGATCAAGTAGATATTCATAAATTGGATAGGTATCGATAAATCAAGTAAGTATTGATAGATAAAGTAGGTATTGATTGATCAAGTAGATATTCCTAGATTTAGTAGATATACATAGATTAGATAGGTATTCACAGATTTAGTAGGTATTCATAGATTAGGTAGGTATTCATAAATCAAGTAGGTATTCATAGATAAGGCAGGTATTGTAAGATCAAGTAGGCATTCATCAATCTAATAGAAATACATAGATCAAGCAAACATTCATAGATCAGATAGGTATTCGCAGATCAATTAGGTATTCTTTAATCAGATGGATATTCATTCATCAGGTGGGCATTCATAAATCAAGTAGGCATTTATAAATCAAGTAGGCATTCATAAATCAAATAGGTATTCGTAAATCAAATAGGTATTCGTAAATCAAATAGGTATTCCCCGATCTAGTAGATCAGAC